AAACATCCAGAGTGTCAGAAGTGAATAGAGAACAATATGAGAGATGCTAACAAAGCGGAACAAACTGAAAAGCATCAGAGGGGATTCTACAGGAACTTCTACATGTCACATTCATTCAAACCTGGAAGCCAAAGAAAATACTTTTATCCATCATGCATGAGTAGATAAGCGACACTGTGTTAGCACCTCTTACTTTACAACTTAAAAGAGAGTATTTATCATCTATGCGCAACTCGTGTTGCGCATAGATGAGCTGAGAGGGTGAATTGTGCCATTATAGGAGGCAGATGCTTTTAAGTTCACTCAATAAAAAACTAGCCTGGCTAATATTAGAGATGCATTCGGACTTTCATACACTTACATCAGCTTTTAGATCATCTGAAATTATAAATAGGGTTTCTCCAGCACAGACCTAATGGTAGGGGTTTCAATGGTTTCCTGTATGAAGTCAAAGAAAAATACAACAACACAATGGTGCGTTTGATTGCGATTCGGAGAGAAAACGACTTGTGGCCAACAATGTTTCAACTTGTCTGGATGCTGTTATTACCTCACTAACAATTGGGAAGATTGGTTGTGCGGATAGGAAGTGATAGGAGGAAGTACACGGGTATACTCTCTCCAAGTAAACATTCAAGTTTATTTGTTGGTTATTTGGACGATTTATAGTTATTTCTTGTTTGACCATTCTTGTGATCCATTGCAGCTCCAAAGTTTTAGAGGTTTACTAGAGGTTTCTGAAGTATCTCAAAGCAAGTCCCAAGCAGAAAAATCCATTTGACCGATGACCACTGCATTAAGAGTGGTCTGAGAGTTTTGCGTTGGGTAAGTCTTGAGTGTTCCATATTCTCTACCCACAAAACAAGAGAGGAGCGATGTGGTGGTGCCTGAAATGGGGCATTTGGTTAAAACTGCAGCAGTCTGTCCAGCTGTAATGCAACAACATTTGTAAACTTTAAAGTGCATATCCATAAGTTTCCGATGTCCCATAAAGATTTATTATTATTATTATTATTATTTACTCGTCCCACAGTGGGGGAATTTCAGTGTAGCATCACAAGTTACAAAACAGTAGGAATGAGGAGCACACGGTACAAGATACATAAACAACTCTATTCTAAAATCAAATCAAATGTCTAACTCTAGCATAAAAAGAAGCAGTATGCAATCTCTATCTTTAGCATTATAAGGAAAGAAGTCTTAAAATCTCCAACTTTAGCATGGACATGAACATGCCACACACAACTTTTCCAACTTCAAACTCATGCCCAATTCATTCTTCATAAACAAAGAAAAATAATTATTCACGTATCTCTTTCATCTCTGCAATAGATGCATAAATAAATTATGTGTTTGTATATGTACTGTAATCTCAGCGAGTATGTATTTCGGTTAAAATGCACCAGAACAGTTAATCTGCGTGATAATCCTCGTATAATTATTCGCGTACATTCATAGACATTTAATCACACCACATATGCAAATGAGGAACTTATCCGTGAACAAGAGCGATTGCGTAAGTAGATTACCGAGAAAGAGCCGCACACTGATCTGAAAAACAATAGATGCTGTTTTCTGGCCCCACGAAGAGGGTGAGATCCTGAAACATAAACAAAAAGTGCTTTGTTTTACGTTGCTCTTAAAGTACTAATCTTGGATTATTTAGAAGTCAAAGTCAACAAAAGTGAACAGCCTCTATAGCTGGTCATGTATCAACGAGACTCTTGCCTCCTCCTCACTCCCTCTTGCTGCTTTATAGATGGATTCTAACCATCCATCCATTTTCTTACCCTTAATCCATTTCTGGGTCGGGGGGGTGGCAGTCAGAGCTGCACCCAGTACACTTAGCACCAGCCTGGATTCTAACCTTGTAAATCTATTACATGCAGTTTGTGTGGTGTATTGTGTCCATTGGGGCTGAGATTGCGCTACAATTGTGTACATGCAAACACACACACATGGGTCCTATATCACGAACCTGTCTGGGCTACCTATTTCAAAGCCCGATTCAATGGATGCTTCATATTCGCCATCCTACATTATTCAGATTTGAATCAAGGGCTGTCAGCTTGCCCATCCAGACCAGGATTTAATATTGTGGACCAGAATAGCTTTGACGGGACTTTGGGATGAAATGTAGGGAGTTTTATGTGACAGGCTTTCTCACGCCGTGTAAAATGCTGATTCAGAGTCTTGTGGTGACTGTCTAGAACGCAGCTAATATCTAAGGTGGCCTTTGCTGATCAGAGGACCAGCTGTTTAATGTGATTGTGCCTCCCCGTGCATGTCCATCTGCTGTCAGCGGGCTCTTGTGACATAAAATGCCACTCGAGAGGTTTTATGTAAGCAGGGGAAAGCTGTTATTTTTGGGAGAACAAGTGGATTTTGTAAGATGTGACATTTGTTTTGAAACCAGAAATTAGGTGTGCACAAAAAACATCATTATCTATTTGTGGGATAATTCTATTTCTTTATTTTTTCTGCTTGGTGTTCTTGTATTTTTTGGAGCTGGATGACTCCAAATAAAACAGAGATGAATGTAGAAACAAGCAACAGGTCCAGATATGTGTCCACTTACAAAATGCTATTCAAGACGCCGGAAGCAAGCTCCAAAACGACAAAAAGAGCAATAACGTGGCAAAATCAAGTGAGTGAAATTATTACAGTTATGTGGTAGAATAGGCTGGTTGCATATATGTGTGTGTGTGAGTATTGTACATTTCTAACTATTTTAATTTGATTTAATGTTTTTTTTTTTCTTTTTCATGTAACCAGGAACTGTAGATAGAAATTTGCTAGGTAGCTATAATCTTAATGTTGTTGTGCACTTGCAAGACTAAACTAACTAGTGTTAAAACTATGACAATACATACAGTAGTAGCTGATGTGGGATTCTACAATTATGAATACAGACCTACAATTATAACTTTTGCTTTTTAGAATATTAAAGCAGATTTATCAATGTCAATGTCAATGTAATTAAAATATGAAATAGACTGCTGGATTTATTATTATTTATGTCTCTCTAATTTAACCCATTTGTCTTTGTTGTTGTTTGCAAAGAACTTAATAACTGCAGACCTGTAGTTTGTAAAATTACATTCAACTGTGCTATTCAAATAAACGTTGCTTGTTTTGTGGCGACTATTGACGCCATTTGTTGCAATTAATTTTGCAGTTCAATATATTTCTACCGCTATAGGCAAGTTGTTTATTAGAAGAGAAAAGAAAATAGGATTTTGACTTCAATTGGAATATCTGAGAGTGAAAACAACTCAGTATTAATTAAACTTTATTTGACCGCATCAGTTCAAAGAAATATGCTACGATCTTGTAGATTCTTGAATTAAATGTAATGTATGTTCAGTTTTGAGCTTGACTTGAGCTTTGACTTGTTTGGGTAAAATATTTAACTCATTTGACACATGACTCATAGCAGGCTCCATCATTTCTGACTGGAACCAGACTAATTGACCCAGCAACTGGACCGGGTGCTGGAACTGGTTCTGGACAGGGGACTGGACCAGGGACTGAAGAACAGAAACACACTTTTTGGACATATTATGTTTAATCCCATGAGAACACACAAAAAAACAAATACATCAGCAATGTTATTAAAACGCTTTTCTCTCTCACATCATTGAGAAAGATGCACAATGAAATAATAAGATTGGCCAAGCATCAATTTAAAGTTAAAACTGAAAATAACTGTAAAATGTGTTTTTTCCCTCCAGTGATAATATTACATTAGTATTTGCATGCCTAAAAATACCCTCTTTTTCTCGTATTAAACATTTTTAAGCAATAGGGGCATTATGGTTTAATGCATGCATGTTTTTAGATTTCTTTATGAAAATCTAAATCAAATTAAAACAAATCTTAATGACCCCCTCTGAGTCCAATAAAAAATGAAACTTAGGTTTGGATATTGGTGGGAGACATGGCCATTCTTCATCTTATTGAATGAATAAAACTAACAACAACAAAAATCAATATATAATATATTGTTTCATTTGTAATTAAATATTCTTTTGAGCAATGTAGAAAAATTAGGAAGATTTCAAGTATATATTTTGAATATATAAAATATCAGCATCTGCATTTAAACGCCATTTGGATGAGAACAAACATGCATTTTTGCGGGGAATTATTTTCTCATTAACATGTGCTTTAGGTGCAAATATGACAGTAATTTTATCTGTGTACAGACTGCAGGTATAAACATGGATGTATTAAATAGCCCTATGACCAAGTTTAACCAATAGAATTCTATGCACATTCAGAAGCATTGGTTTGAAGGCTTGTTTGAAGTGCTGAGCCTCTGAGCAAGACTTTTTTTGTAATCATTTAGTAAAATCAGTAATGAATAATGCCAATGTATTGAACAAAGACCATGACATTTAAACTTCAGATTTTTATCATGTCAAATAATATTCAAATAAATCCTCCGGATGGACTGTGGAAGATGCAAACTTCAAAAAACAACCTGTGAAAGAAGATCAAATGTGTAAAAAAATAAATAAATGCTGATACTCACAGCAGCGTGACTCAAGTTGACTAAATACTGTCAAAAAAACAAACAAACTATGTCAAATGCCATCAACAGTAATAATTGACGAGACAAGAGAATATAACAAACAAAAAATACTAAAATGAAATACCCATACACATAGACAATATTAAGTAGTTACTTAGATATGGCTACTCGTGTTCACTCAAGTTTACATAATAAAACTTGGAGCAATTATAGCAGTAAGTGGTCTTTGCAATTATAAAATCTGAAACGTATGTCAGTCTTTCATTGTACCGCTGTCTTGTATGTATCTATTATGTGCAAGTGTGTGAGCGATCTATAGAAAACTATAGAAGGGGCGTGTTGCATGGGGTTGAACAAGAATGTCTTTAGAAAGCACTGCAATGAAAACAAGCTGATTAATTGAGCAGTGTTTTTTCCCCATGTCCTTTTTGTTCTTTGAGATTCAGAATCGACGACGTCAGTGTCACTTGGGGAGTCCACCGGGTAGGCAGGGCACTTGCTCCAACACCGCTGCGGAGCCATTGCTGTCCCCTCTCTCCTCCACCTCCGTCTCGGCCCTGTCCTCATCCAGGTGAAGTGGGTCGTGGATGTTGAGCGGATCCAGAGTGTCAAATGTGTGCGTTTTGGGTTCCGGGCTGAGCAGGGACAGCTGAGGTAATAAGGGGCCCTCGCGGAGCTTGGCGGCCAGCTCCCTGGCGCTGCATGCCGGAGTGTTGGTTTCGTAGACGTCGTGGAAGTTGTTGTAGTCGACCTCGTAGAAGCCATTCTCTAGAGACAGGACGGGGGTGAAGCGGTAGCCCCACAGCACCTCCGTGTCCAGGTAGGAGCTGCGCGCCTGACAGGTCATGCCTACACAGCGGGGAGCGAGAGCAGACAGAATACATGTTAGCCATATAGCCCCAGAGTCTTCAATTATGTATACATAATTACTTTTGATGGTTTGTGCTAGGGTTGGTTGAATTTGATGAACTTTTGGCAAATTCAGTGAAATAAATACAGTAAGTAAGTAATCTTTATTTATATGGCACAGTTTTTGCAGACCAAGGTAAACTAAAGCACTTCAAAATTGGGTCTTGTGACTGCTATCATGCAATTTTTATTTCTCTGCATTATTATTCATCTTGCAGTCCAACAAGATAAAGTCAGTAATGTTATAATCCCCTGTTTTCTTGCTAAATTCAAATCAATTCAATGTTTTCTTGCATAGTCCTAAATCACAACAGTAGTTGTAGAGGACTTGATAAAACCCAGCACAGATCCAAGAATCAAACAGTTCAAACACAAAGGTATAGAACACATTTGTGTTGGTCCAAAGGGGGAGTTGACCAATGTCCATGAATGTTGATAAATGTCCACTAATGTTGTTGAATGTTGAGTGTCCTGGATCATCACCACAGTCCTTTTTGTCAGACCTTCTAACAGTCTAACAGACCCTCCTTGTCTTGTTTTCCCACTTTGAGACTTAAAGGTGATGTCAGTAACGTCAATTGTATATTTTCTTTTTTTAAATAATAGACCATGGGTCCTGTAATATTATGTAGTCATTTTCAACCATAGTATTTGACCAGTAATATTTGCTGGAGGAGAATAGTTATACTGTGATTAGGCGCCTCAATCTTTTGAATTAATTTCAACAAATCAGGAGGCTCCGGGTGTGAGCATGGGCGGGTCTACTTCGTGTTTGTTTTCAGAAAGCTTCGCTCACTCCTCACAATTTGAAAAGAAACTGACATTGACTTTAATTTCCAATGTGCAATACAAATAACATTCATTTCTAAGATTGTTATTATTGTATTTGTTAGATGTATATTCTCTTACAACACTAACATTGACACATTTCAGGATTTGCATAAAATGTTGTTTCCTGTCAAGTAAATTCTTAATGAGCTTCAAAATAATCTTTACTTCTATTTCAAAAATATCCCAGTGTAATACTTTGTTTCTTTTTCTTGGACTATTTCTGACAATTTCAGTGCTTAGACAGAAAATGAGATTACACATCCAAATACTTGTTCAGTTCACCTTTTGTAATGCCCAGATTTCCTTTTTGCAGTGCAGACGTTTAAGTTGAGCACTATACCATCAATCAGCTCTTAAGGAAATCTTTATTCACCAACCCATTATCTTTAGCTTTCCAGACATGTCTGAGCGCGAGAGAGCGCGAGAGAGAGCGAGAGAGAGCGAGAGAGAGCGAGAGAGAGAAATCAAATAGTGTAATTTATTTATAGTCAAAATATGGCATGATGTCCAATGTAGTGGACACATGATTAATTACAATTTCCTCAAAACAAGAACATCAATCCTTGGCTTGTTTAACATTTATGCTTCTCCTTATAAGGTGTTACTTTCTGTCTACACATATGTTTTTTCCTGGAATAGAGTGAATGAACAGATATTTTTCCTCCACAAGCATATTTTCTCTTCCGTTGGCAATGTTGAATTTGAGTTTTGTTGCATTTTTAGGCTCACCAGTAGGTGCAGTGTATGTATTTGGTATGACACACTAGCATTGAGTGACTTATGTCCAACTGTGAAGCCAACTTTAAAGTCATTGTCTGGAGTTTGTCAGAAAGAGAGAGAGAGAGGTGCTTGATTTGAAAAAAAAAAAAAAACGACGCTAGCTCCCTCCCCCTTCCTTTCTGATTGGTCTACACCTACGTTTCCATAACACATTTAAATGTTAATCAGAGAACACATTATACATATACATTATTAATACACATGCACAGAGGTTTTCAGAATTATTTGTTAACGTTTTAATGAAAAAAATAATGTTTTTATGCACAAAAAAGCGATCGCGGCAAAGCCGGAAGAAGATATTATCATGAACTGCACATTATAGGACACATCTGCAGAGGATCTGATTATGGATATAGGTTCAGTATATACATAAGTACCTCAGCGAGAATGTTCAGAATTCTTTTTTCAGTTTTTATGAAGTTCCAGAGCCTAATAGAGGCTTGATTCGGAGGCTTCGCAAAAATAAACAACTGAGCATGCGCGCAGCTACGAGCATCAGCGCCGATGATTGACAGCCTGTGACGAAGTGAGTCTTACAACTCCACTTGTCCCTTAGTACACCCTTGGTTCCACACACACACACAGGTTCTGTCAAATACACTCTCATATCCCGGGCCTTGTTTGTGTAAGTTTGTCAGTTCCACATACTCATTAACATACATACATTCCATTTGCGACAGTAGCTCAGTTGGTAGAGCATTGGCCTGCAGGCCTGAAGGTCGTGGGTTCAATTCCCACCTCTACACCTTCTCCACCGACTCCCACTGATGACTGCTGTCGTTGTGTCCTTGGGCAAGACACTTAACCCCACTTTGCCCAAAGCCCCCGCTGAAAGATCAAGGCTATGCTCACACTCAGAGAGCAGCCATCCTCCTGTGGACTCACCACCTTCAGAGGGTCAGTGAGGGGCTGGTGCTATGAGACTTGGGTGGCATCTCTGATCGACACCCCCCTGACCCAGAAATGGATTAAAGGGTAGAAAATGGATGGATGGATGGACATTCCATTTGCAGCAGTTGGCTGTTAAAAACACCAAACACTATAGTATAGTGATGTGCTGAGCGGGCCGAGTCTTCGAAGCGTGGACCGAGTAATCTGGGGGCGTTTCTTTTGAAGTGTGGGTCGAGGCGTGTATTGGTCACGTGTGTGATGATGTTCGAAGCCTCGCGAACGGCCGTACCACGTGACTGATTCAGGAAATGATTCGTTGGTTTGGAGCGCGATTCGAACTAAAAGGGACGAGTGAACGCAATGGATTCCCCTTCATCACTTTGTGTGTTTTTGGGTTATTGCGCTTCTCATTTGGCATCCTATTTGGCATCCTATTTGAGCTTCTTTTTTGCGATGGAACCGGCAAGAAAGAGAAGATTTTCTCCAGTTTGGGAGCACTTTGAGCAGATCTCACCTAATAAGGTAAGGCATATCAATAATTCTGTAATAATAGATTACACAAATATGACAACACATAATTTCTCTTGCTCACTTTTCTCTGTTATAAATACGTTTGAATAATAGTTTTTTCAATTGCAGGTGAAGTGTCTGTTATGCTCCAACCAACTGGGTTATAATAATAACACCTCAGCTATGCTAAGGCACTATCGTGCCTTGCATAGCAATGAGGATTCCAACCCAGGTGAACCTGTCTCGGGTAGGCCATTTTATATCATGATAATAATTGATGATTGTCCTACAATTACACTAAATATATTTTATTTGAATGTATTTGTTCATTAGATAAATTTCTAACCCTAATGTGCATTTTTTTTCAGCTGAGACGGTTGACTTGACTGAGGCGTTGGTGGATATGGTGATTATCTTGGGATCATCCTTTTCCATTGTGGAGGGAACTGGCTTCTGAAAGCTTGTGAAAGCTTTGGCACCATCTTATGTTCTTCCCATGCGGCAGGTATTTATGTGAACTATTAACAATTTATTATCCTCAGATCCACTATTTCAAGACTTTACTTTTTTCAGACTTTGAAAGCCATGGTGGAGAAGAGATACAGGGAAGCCAAAGACAAGGCCAAAGTGGTGGTGTCTTCTGCATCTGCTGTTAGTTTAACAGCAGACATGTGGACCTCCATCAACACTGATGCCTATCTTGCAGTGACTGGTCATTTTATTGACGAGAGCACTTCTCTGCAGACTGTTGTCCTTGGGGTGCAGCATTTCCCTGAGGCACATACAGCAGCAAATCTAGCGAGAGTGATGACCTCTCTTATGTCTCTTATGTATGTATACTCTATTTGTGCTAATAAGTCACTTATAACCTGTTTATTCTGTTTTAGGGAGCAAACTGTGGCAACGTTTTGACACGACATGCCAGCAGACCAAAATCCCAAACATAACTGCCAACGCTACAGTGGAGGTCCAAACATACCTGGGGGAGCCAAATATTCCTCGACTCGAAAGTCCCCTTCAATATTGGGACAAACATAAGTTTACATTTCCAAATGTATATAAACTTGCCATTACATATTTATGTTCACCTGCATCCTCTGTGCCCTGTGAACGGGTTTTTTCAAAGGCAGATGAAATACTGTGCAAAAAAAGAAATCGCCTGAGTCCAAATACTCTTGAAAAATTATTATTTTTGAATAAAAATGAATAACTGTATTGTTTGTTTTTCAACTCCTGTCAATAGTTGCATAAGCACTTACATAAACAAAGTAACACAAGCACATTTTACATAACAACTGTCTCCACATCATTGGCTGTATTTTTTCAGCCCATGTTCAGACCCTACCATTTGTTATAGGCCCTTGGCATGTATTACATTTCTTTGTCCACATGATGGCGTAGTGGAGCATGATTCACCTCGAGCCTTCGACTCATGGGCCGAGTAATAGGCTGCGATCCCTCAAGGCTTCATGGGGCTTCATATTGCCCTCACTACTATAGTAAGGTTTAAACATGTTTATTCATTTGTCTAGAGGGAACTTTGCTTCTAACTTACCTGCTCCATGCGGCATCAGATTAAAGGGGAGGGCCGCAGAGCATTTCCTGGTTTTAACCCCTTTGGAGTGAGCCCTCTGTCTAGCTCCACCCATTTAAAGGAGGGGTTTGATAATTAACCTGGTTTAGGGGTTTAAATGTTGATTTGTGTCATCGGTGTAATACTGAGTTTAAGCTGTGTTACTGTCTGTGCAGTAATTGCTTCTTGTTTATGTTTACAGATGCATATAAAAGCATATGCCAGCCGAGTGGGAGGAGCCAGTCAATTTAGACCATGTATATATATGCCAGGTGTGCTGGCTGTTCCAGAGAGAAAGGGAGGCACTCTCCATGTTGGTTTTGGAGAGAGAACATGTATATTTGGGAGCACTGTA